TACATAAATAGCTAATAAACTACTTATTTACACAGTAAAAATATTTGTTAATTTTAACCAATTAATAACATATTTTTTTATTAATCTAGGTCCAAATAACTTTTGGAGTGATGTTACATTTACCAAGAATTATGTTACGTTTACAAAGAATTATGTTAAACTTTTTACAATATAAAATTAAAAAACTAAAAACTGATATCAATAAATATGACTTTTAAAACTGTGTACTTAGTTAACAGATTATAGTTTGTTGTAAACGTAACAAAAGTTATGTAGATCTAGATTAACAAAAAATCTTATTAATATTTGGTTAAAATTAGCAAATATTTTTTTACTCTGTGTAAACAATATCAGAAGTTAAACTTTCCGAAAACAATTTAATTTTAAGGGTGTTCTTATTAATTGGCGATGCAAAGTGAATGGACTGAGTTCCTTTGATCGTCTTGCACTTTTTATGCCTTAACGTGAGAAACTCAGCTGCAAGTTCATAATCGGCCGTTGAATAAAAAAAAACGTTTATATTTTTAAAATTTTCTTTTGCCCATTCATAAAGTTTTTGCGCGGTCAAAATTTCATTTCTGGTTCCACTTTGTAAACAGTATCTTCGAGCTATTCGTTTTAATGTGCCTCCAACGCCATCGCAGGCTCCTTTTCCATGAGCTGTTGCGAAAAAATTCCATTCAGCTTCAACTCCAAAATCTGTCAAGTGATGGGTTAAATTAACAAAATTCTTTTTATTTTTATATTGTTGAGGTGCTCCATCCGAAAAATATATAATTCTGTTGACGATTAAAAAATTTCTTTTCAGAAAATCGATTAATTTTTTCTGAGACGTATATACCGCAATAGTGTCGTGGTTAAGGCAATCCGATATGCCAACATAAGAAACATGTTCAATTTCATTTGTTTCACGATTTTTGTAATATATGACAATCGGATGAACCGTTGCCTGATTGTTGTTCCAGTGAAATCCTTGGACTGCTTCCTGAACAACAAATGCAAAATTTTCTGAAAAATCGAGAGTTACCACGAAATCGCCAACTTCTAAATTCTTCTTTACATTTTTAAAATGCAGAGACTGTTTAGTGGCGATAAAATCGTGAAAAAGTAGTTTGGTCAATTTTTCTATTAAAGATGGAACAAATTCATCAATAGTTTCGTTCAAAGTTTTCAGAGAGCACCTAATTCAAAAACAGTAATAAATCAAAACCAACATAAATTTACACTATAACTTAATATTTACCTATCTGTTGATATCCATTGTTTGTAATTCACTTCCTCGACTAAGTCATTATTAAATGCGTCGATTAGTTTTTCTTTTAGAATATCATTGCTGGGACATAAAGCACACTGACCTTCGTAACATTTGATAATCGGATTTAGACATAGCAGATATTTAAAGAGCTCCTTGTACGAACTTTTTCCTTTTATTGGAATTTCCCAAGTTTTGGTTAAATTTTGTAAATCCGAGCCTATAAACAGATAATTGATTATAATTATTATTAATAATTATATTTATTTTATTAATTCTAATTAATATAATAATAATAATAATATATTATTATTATAATAATTAGAAATATTAGAATAATTATAATTATTACGATAATTTTTATTCTTAAGAAGTGTAAATCAAACTAATTAAGGTTTCTGAAATCAAATTCTATTTTCTGACCTTCGATCATAAGTTTAACATTTTGATGAAAGATACACACACAAACTGTATGTGTTCCGCTAGCTCCTGCCAGAACACATTCGTTGGGACGAAGTTCGGCAAATTTAGAGAAACCTACTTGGCAATTCGGGAATTCTAATTTAAAAGATTGGTAAAGTTCTTTTAAATTACAATAAACAAGTCTCTTTTGAACTTTCTCTTTCGCTCCATCATCTTTTTTGATAGTCACGTAATCCTTCATCCCAGGCAATTGCCTTGAATTTTCGTCGTTTCGGTAATATTGGGTTATTAAATCTATGTTATCACTCGAAAGATTTCGTCCGTTTTTGACGCCGGGTACTGATAGAATGCCTTTTTCTTTTTGCAATTTTTTGGCAACATTTACCATATGCTTAGAGCAATTGAATGTTCGTGTTATATTGCATGTGCTTAAAGTTGATGGTAGTGAAGTTAAAATACGATATTTATTATCTCTGAAATAAAAATTAATTATAAATATTGATAATAACAATGCGATTTTAAATTGAACTTAAATTTTTCTTTGTAATAATTTTTAATTAAATTGATTGAGAAAATAATATTTAACCTCGATGTGTCTTCAGCATTGAATTTCTCCATAAACATAGACATAATGTTATTATGAGCCACAGTTTTAGCATCATCTGAAGTAACAATATTTAAACATGTTATTTCTTCAAATTTTTTTTTAATACTTTCTTGTGCTGCTTCAACTTTACCAACAATATAATTTTTATATCTAAGTCTGTAAAACATTCAGTTATGATAATGAAAAATATAATTTTGTCTTTGATTATATTATATTATATACATGAAAGTGATGCATCACTTTCATGAATATCGAGCGCATATTATCATTTTTTTTTTACAAAACAAAAATGTTTAACATACTTTTTATCATCAATTTCTTTTTCACCTAAAGCATTTAAGGCGATGTTTAAATTTAATTTTGTTAATTTTGATGAAATAAATTCTTCCGCATTTGAATCAGTTGAATCTGAACCTAAATCTTCATTTTCAGGAGTTTCTTGGATTGTTAATTTTACTCGACATGAATTACAGATCAAAGCATCTTTGGGAATATTTTCAAACTTATGCCTATGAAAACGTAAAAACTTTCTGAGTTGAGTTGAATTAGGATCTGCAAAAAACATTTATTTAAAAACTCTATGAAAACTTAAGTTAATTTTACTTAATTTACAATAATTTGAATAATAAAGTATAAAATTAATTAATAATCACTTACGGTTGGGATACTTAAATGGATTACAGCAACGCTTTTTGTGTGATGGACTCATGTTGATAGCTTTCCTTAATAAACTCACTCAAGAAATTACTAAACTCAACAATTCTATAATTATTATAAACTTCGGGTTAATGCGCCAAAACTATTATACTAATTAGTAATTATAACTAATAATAACTACTAACAATAATAATTAATAATAACTATAATAACTAATATAACAATAATAACTAATAATAACTAACAATAATAACAATAATAATAACTAATAATAACTACTAACAACAAACAGGGTGTTTCAAATTTAACGCCTTAAATAATGTTATGGTTTACTTTTAGACTAACGTCAGAAATGCATGGCAATCTAATAACAAATTAAAATCAACATTTTAGGTTGTCATGGATACTAGGACAGTATTTGTCAAAGACTTTTTTAGTATTTGTAAATTAATTATATAACACAGAATTTGCCTAATAAAATTTTTACCATAAAAGATAGAAAAAGTTATTTTTTTACAAATTCAACAGTTATAATATTAAATCAGGAGATTACATCGCATTTTTTGCAATTAATTAAGAATGAAATAAATGAATTTTGGTTTTTGATAAAATACATAAAATTACTTGTTTGTTTGGTCTGAAACCATTCCATCCCCCGTTTGACTAAGCGCGCTTAAAAGTCGCGCGGAGCCATTGCATTGGGAGTAACGATTTCAAACGCATCGCTTCATAAAAAAATTCATAACTTCTACAATTTTTGAGTCCCCCCAAAAAGTAACTAGTCAAAATTTGCGCAAGATTCAGGGCTATCACCATAAATTTTTTGAAAAATTTTTGAGATGGCATTTTTTGGATAATTGAATTTGTTTAAAAAAAATGATTTTTTTAATGAATTTTTAGGTTAAAATTTTTGAAAAATTTTTTTTTTTTAAAGAGCGCCCAAAAATATGTACATCTAAATTTATCTCGAAATTTTCAGTCGTTTCAGTTTTTTAATTTTCGAAAAATAAGAAACGTGACATTTTTTTTTATTTATTATATAAAATCCACAAAAATGCATAAAAAAAATTAAAATTTTGGATTTCTCCTTTATTTATGTTCCTCTGTCGGCCCTGAAAATTTGAAGTAAATCGGAAACATGAAGTGTGAATCTTGGCCGATTTGGCGTGGATCGCCCCATATATATATATATATATATATATATATATATATTATATATATTTATGTACATATGTACATACCTACATTTGTGTATATTTAAAAACCATTTTGAGTGACAAAAAATAAAATATGTTTGGTTTTATTTTTTTTTGATTAATTACCTAATTTTTAAATAAAAAATATGAAGCCCAAAATAAAAAAAACGTTTTACTTGTAGGTTTTTTACAAAAAATTTGCTTATCTTGAAACTACAATTCCATTGCTATATGGGAAACATTAAAAATAAAAAAAGTTTTGAAAGTGTCCAAGATTTTTCATTAGATAATTCTAATTAAATTTAATTAAAATAATAAGATACAAAAATAATTAAAGACAAAGAAATACAACAAAATTGGTCCAATAAAAATTGATTATACATTGTTTGACAAATATTAAAAAATACCATCTCATTTGGATTGAAATAAATTTAAATTGTAAATATTTCATTTTGGTGAATGACGATTAAGTGCTCCCTTTGAATTATCTTATTTCATTAACGAAAGTAAATTAATTAAAAACTTTTTCATCTCTTATTCAGTCCTCTTGAAGATAACAGGCGACAAAGAATTCCCAACTTTATAAAGTGATAAAGTAACAAACAGGCGCGACAATGAAACAATAATCATCGACAGGGCGGAGTAGCCACACAGTGGGGTCAAACTTTAATTTTATGGATATTAATTATTAGTGAAATATAAAATCAAAATATAAGGGTATCAATCAAATCAAAGAGGCGTATACGCCAAAATAAAAACTGTACATGAGAAGATAGTTTTAGTTCTATTTTTAAAAATCCTTTAATTTATTTTCAGACACACATTACTTAGATAGGCCTCAAAAACGATAAATTTAAAAACTTACCCCGTTGAGCGTTTTCACGTTGTGCAAAGCGTCCTGAGCCAGCAGGGCGGCTTTTCTCGTAAAAAACGTCACAAAGCAACAACCTAAAACAATACAGAAAAACATTTATAAATTGAATAAAGCAATAGACTCGGAAGTTCGTTAAATGTATAAACTTTTACATCGAAAATACTATTTTTAAAAGGATATATTTTTATGTATGTGGGAATTTATTTGACATATTGGTAGTCAATGTGAGTAGTTATAAAGTAGTTCAGTGACACTTTGATTGCATGTGTTACGTTTCAGGATTTTTAGGATAATGACGAAAAGGTCTTTTATCCTGAAATATAAGGACTAAAAGGTCCTGGTTAAAGTAATTATATATTTAGGTTGGTATTCTCTCTTAAAATATATTAGTCAAAAATAACTAATTATAAGTCATATTTGACTAATTGTCGTATCGAAAAAGCAGTCACTAATAATACATAAAAAAATGATGGGGTTCTGAAAGTGGTTTTCGTTTCTCCTATCCAAAGAATGCCTTTTTGCGTTTACAGAATGTTTAGGTTTTTTTAATATCGATTTAAAGTTTTATTAATTTTGGAACCCGAAAAACCGTTATTAATTAATTTAAACCAAAACAAAAAAAAATTGTGGGGTTCTAAAAGTGGTTTTTGTTTCTCCTATCCAAAGAATGTCTTTTTGCGTTTACAGAATGGTTAGATTGATTCAGGTTTTTTTTAATATCGATTTTAAGTTTTATTAATTAATTAACCCGAAAAACCGTTATTTATTAATTGAAACCAATTAACTGGTAGGAAATAGTTGGCATAACAATAAATCAAAAAAAAATAATAAAAATTAAAACAAAAATTAAAAATGGTTGCAAACATGTCACTAAAAGTACATTTGCTCCGTGTACATCTTGACCTGTTCGAAAATCAGCTGTCCACCGAATCAGAAGAGCATTAAAAAATAATGAAAATGGAAAATCGTTATAGAGGAAAGAGGTTTGATTCGATGTTGGCAGATTTTTGTTGGTCTATGGCAATGGAAATTTTGGCATAAAATTATAAATAAAATTTGTTATATCTATTATGTTGATTCATACTATTTGCTAAAAAGAATATGTTTTTAATAATTAATATAATAATAATAATATTTACCATAATTATTATTATGGTAGAAGCAAAAGAAGTAAGAAATCGCACTACAACATATTAAATCCAGAAAAAGGTTCAATTTAAAAAAAAAATTGCATTTTATTGTTCTCATTATTTTTTTATTTAATTATTTTTTTCTTTATTTGATTGTTATTACTTTATAAAACAATATACAAAACCAATAATTATCTTTTATTTACTAATTATTTATTATTTTACGATATTTCGGGATCCAAAATTACTAAAACTTTAAATTGATATTAAAAAAAAAACCAGAATCAATCTAAACATTCTGTAAAAGCTATATACTTTAAGAACCCCATCATCTTAATTTTTTTCCGAAAATGTTGCACAGTGTAATTAGTCAAATTCTACTGAATGAAATAGTCAAATTGGTAGATTTAAATTTAAAAAAGTTTTGATTCAGCCGGGGATTGAACTCAGGTCTGTCACTTGTCAAGCTGTTGTCATAACCCATTCGGCCGCTCTTATAAAAATCAATTTTATTTGTCAATAAATATCGTTCATAATATTTTAAAGTAGAATATATTATTTGTGTTTCTGTTTTGAGCTAAATGTTTGCATCTTTATTTGTTTTTATAGGGCATTTAACAATGGAGCTTAGGTATATGCATTTAATTCAAATAATACTTTGTTGTTGGTTGCAAACGATTAAAGAAATTAGTTACTTTTAACTCTCAGAAATAGTCAAAGATGGTGACTAATCTTAAATTACGTAGTAAAAAATTACTATTTAAAAGTGAAAACGACTATTTTATTAGTAAAAAATGCTGTTACTAATTCAAATAGTAGAATTTTGACTATATCATTTTTAGAGAGTTAACAAACATGTCGATTAGTGTATTTCACTGATTTGTGACCCCGGCGCATTCGCCAAAATTAAAACTTTCTTAAGTTTATTCTAGTTTATTAAATTTATTTATTAGGAATTATATTACCAAAATATAATTAATCTAATATAGTTTGTTCACTCTATCTATTGGTTTTGGCAAGATGCAACGGATAATTTATTTATTCGACGTTGATACAGTATAAAAGTAAATTACAAGTAAATAAACTCGTTGCAACTATTAAAAGGTTTGTCCGGGCATAAATCCCGCATATATTGTTAGGGGGGTTCATTTCAGAAGTTTAGAAAGACAATGACAACCACTTAAACCGCGTTTAATTAAAAAGTTTTGTCTATCGAAACAATCCTCGGCACCGCACGCAAAACTACAATGCGCCAGCAAAACAAAAGGTTTTCTCGTGGTCTATTAGTATCCCGAGAAATTTAATAGCATCACATTTATTAATTTATTTTACAGAAAAAGATCTGGTTGTATCAACTTGATATGCCAAAATAAAGAAAATGAGTTTTTAAACTTTTTTCAATAATGTCTTTTGAGAATTTGAGGATCTATCTAATCAATTAGCCAAGGAATATTGGTTTTTTAAGTCCCAAATAGTTTGCGATTTATCAGCAAAATACCTCGGTGGCAAAAGCACTAGTCCATTGCGTGATATATTATTTCTTGGGCAGTATGCTAGAGTCCATATAATAATTATTACTAAAAAATAATTACTCATCATGGTCCGTTAACGTTGGCTATTGACTGTCTCCATTATAATATTTATTGGAAAAATGATCTCACCCCTAAAAATCACACCAAACACTTTGAGGATGTAATTTAATCTCGGGTCAATTCATATCAAATAATTAATTTTGTTGTTGCTATTATAATACTACTAGTACTATATTCTATACTAAAAAAAGCCTCTTGATGTTTAAAAATATCAATTTTAAACAAAAACCACTTTAAAGGGCATACAGAGCCTACTTAATTTTAAATAAACAAAAAAATAGGTAAAAGTTCATGTTTTTAAAATGAAACTTATCTTTCGCAATTAAAAATGTTAAAGATAAAACTAAGATTCACTTTCTGGATAGTATTTTAGGCCTGAAAGTTAAAACATTTTTTTAATAGGTCTTTAAAAGTTTCGATTAATAAAAAATCAGGTATTTTTAATCAGAAATAAGGAAAACAATTTTTTCTACTCCCACCTATAAAAAAGTGCGTACATGTTCCATGACACTAAGTGCTCTTTTATATACACATTGACAAGTTGTGGCTATTTAGTCACGGGCTGAAGTTAGCAACAGGTTTTTAGTCACGGGCTGAAAATAGTTTTGAGTTAGTTGACAGTTGTGAAATGTCATAAAATCGTTAAAATAAAGTGCTCTTCTTGTGATAAAATAAATAGGAAATTATTTTGTTATCTTACTACAAAAATAAAAAATTATTAAATAGTTTCTTAACTCCAATACCTATTTAAAAAGTTTATATGAAAGTTTGTAATAAAGTATATTATGTATCAAGTTTGATAAACGCCATTTTAGACATGAATTTAATTTAGTCTCGAGCGAGCTTGCGAGCGAGTGCTTAAATTAAAGAGTGTCTAGAAAAGTTTATAAACGAGTCATACTTTTTTTACGAATAATACTTTTCATTATCTAAGTATTTGTATAGAGCGCCATCTATAAACAATAGGGGAATCTGTGTTACCGTCAAATGTCAAATTTGTATGTGTTATAAACATAGATAATAAATCAAAATGTATCCCTTGAAAATGGATTAAACAACAGTTTTTACAGTGAAAGTAAAGAAAATATTTTATTAACACTTCACGGTGGAGTCCGAGCCCGAGTTATATCTAGTTTACTGCCGGCGAAATTAAAACGTCTAATATGCTTTTGTATTTTTGTATTAAGATAATAAAATAATTTTCTTATTTAGTATTATTTTACAAGAAGGGCACTTTATTTTAACCATTGTATGACTGCCAACTAACTTAAAGCTAACTTCAGCCCGTGACTAAAAACCTGTTGCAAGCTTCAGTCCGTGACTTAAAAGCCGTAAAGCCACAACTTGTCAAGGTGTATTTAAAAGGTCACTTAAAGTCATGAAAACATGTACGATATTGGGCGTTTTAAAGGTGGGACTAGAAAAAGCATAAAAAATTTCGTGAAGGGCCCATAAAACATTCGCTTTACTTTCACTGTGAAAAACTACTTCTATATCAGATTTAAGAGGTTATTAGTCCATTTTTAAGGTATAAATTTCGATTTACACATTTTAATCGCCCCGCCGGTAATACAGATTCCCAAGTAAGAAATACTTACTCGAGTTGCTCTTTTCTTTTATAGATGTTGCTTTATACAAATATTTCATTTAAATCATGATACTAATAAGTAGGTATTTGTCGTAGTAAAAGTATACTCGTAGTATGCATCTCGTTTATAAACACTCGCTTGCAAGCTCGCTCGTGCCTAATTAGAATTCGTAAATAAAATGGCGTTTATCAAACTTGATACATAATAGTGGTTACAATGTCATCACTGATATTAGATTAGGTTTTGATTTAGACATTTTTAAAAATAGCTATATAATAATATTCTTCGATTGGTACTTTTAATATAAGTTTAAGTTTTTTTAAAATATCTTTAAAAACCAAGAAGATACAGAGTTTTAAACAATAAAAAATTAATAATAAAACTACTTTATTTGACATAAAAAGTATTACATCAAAAGGACGAAGATTGATCATGGATCATAATATGGATTGACCCTCTCAACAGTCCAGAATGTACATATGTGGCACAAAATTTATCAGCTACACGACAAAAAGCGAGCTCAGTTAATTTATTACCTATTTTTATCTACCTACACATTGACAAGCTATGACTTGATGGCGTTTTAGTCAGGGGCTAAAGTTAGCTTTATTACGAATTTAACCTCACTATAGTGTGCAACTCGTTTTATAAACCTCTCTAGACACTTGTATTTATTAAAAACTCGCTCGCAAGCTTCGCTCGTGCCTAATAAAACTAAAATTACATTTATAAAATTTGATAGGTACTATTTTTTTTATAAAAG